AGACAGACAAAATGAATATTTCCTGGTGAGATTCAAACTCACACCTCAGCTAAGCTGAGACACATACTAGAGTTCTGCCTTTACCAACTAGGCTACAGGCGCTTGTGGCTGCCAGGGTAGTTGAGTCTTACTGGTCTAGGTTAAACTGCACAGCACCTCCAAACTTTGGTGATACATCATGTTAACAGGCTTAACCTCGACAGGTTTTCAATTAAGTCAACAGTTTGCTATGATCTGTGTCCATACCCCTCCATACGCGCCCATGGAACTCTTTGAAGACCACTTTGAAAATATGAGCGATGTGGTAGCTGGATAGAGATGGTTGTTTTGCATCGGGATATCCGCTCATAATTTCAGTGGAATTAGGCAATTCTGCTGAAATTAAGAGCGGATATCCGGATGCAAAACAACCATCTCTCTAGCTGGATGTGTAAAAATTCAAAGTTTTTTATTATTTTCTTTATCATTTTTCCTTATATTTCCTCTCATCTAACTCTCATTACAACTCAAGAACTGGATTTTACAGATCATTTCACCCATGGTCACCTCTGGAGGCATCTCTGTAACTCACTGGCTTGGATGTTACACACCTCGACATGTGCAACACTCAATTACACTCAATCAACTACACAACACAAACTTACACAAATACTTCACTACAGGACACAGGAAAACAGATGACATCATAATCTTCTTACAGGTGCACAGCTAGCACAGCTTGTCAGATCATGTGTACAGCTCTTGTGCACAGCTTGACAGGTCATGTGATAATCTTACTTCAGCTTGTCAGTCTAGTTGAAATACCTCATGCAGTCTGTATGACATAATGCAGATTGCTAGGCTAGCACAAACCTCTCATGTACACAGCTTTCTCTATCCAAATTACCTCAGGTGCATGGCTAGGCCAGCTAAATTAGCTCATTATACAGCTCTGACCAGCTAAAATCTCTCATTCTCTTGCTCCCTTGGAGCCAAAATCCCTCACTGTTGTCTATTAAAGGAGGCTCTCCTCCCAGTTGTTTTTCCCCTCAGTTCAGTAGCCACAAATCACATACCCCCCACCATTACATACTGTAAGAACCTTTATAACACCCAATAACAACCCTTACACTTGTACTACACACTAAACTCACTTTCATGCTCTCAAAAACTCTTTTCTCACATAATAAAATTGTGATCAAACAACTTATTCTCGAACCAACCACCCCTATCAATTGATTAAAACTTGCCAAGCTAAGTGTTATCTGATAGTACAGAAGGGCAGAGTTTGCAAATCCACCATACCCTTCACCATTCAGCAGAAGGGTTTCACAACCATTTTTGAGTCTTACACCAACCACATGACAAGAGTTGATATTCAATTTCAGGATAGTCAGGCTCTATTGCTGGATGAAAGATGGCTACTTGGTATTGCAACGATAGAGTCAATTTTACATGAATTGGGTAGCAATCTTCAAAGGTGCAGGCTGGTCACTTCAGCTGAGGAAACATTGACCTTGATGAAATATTTGGGGAGATGGGCCAGTCAAAGAATGCATTGAGCTCATCTGGGATTGGTTAGATGCTAGCCTGTCACAATTCAATGAAGATCAGTTAAACATCTATACACAAGTCAAGCGACACCTGTTGGCAAACAAAGGCCAACTCTTCTATATTGAAGGTCCTGGTGGTACAGGAAAGACCTATCTCCTGAACTCAATTATCAACCTAGCTGACTCCAAGGCTATAATTTGGACGGTAGTGGCCTCGTCCGGAGTGGCGGCACCTCTCTTGAAGGGGGGTATGATGGCACAC